TTAACACTGCAATCGGCAAGCCAGCGGATTCACTTTGCTAGCCAATGACAAGTCCTAAAAGATCCACGTGATCATGCCCGTGATCGGAAACAAAGAAGACTCCATTTGGCGCTCATCTTTGAATGTACTTTTCATCGGTTGATCGCTTTTCTCAACTGTTTTGCTTAATATAACATTTCTAAAGATAGCTTTTATTGTGGTTCAATGGGAAAACGAGAATAGCGTGAGTGTTGTAAAAGAGAAGAAAGTGGAGTTAAAAGAAGGGACAACAGTTGACATATGGACCGGTACAAACAAGGGTCGAGTGGCCATCTGTAAAGCTACGATTTTGAAAGTTTGTGGTGAGTAAAAATTGCGATATTCGTTGTGATCAAAATCTTATAAAAGAATAGATGTAGCGGGTTGAATTAAGCTTACATAACGCTCGGCGCAACTGAAACTAGAATAATTCTGAGAATCGAATCGGTCACTTGCATGCCGCAGTTTCTTAAGCTTATGCTTTACAATGAAATAAACCTATCAGTAAGGTTTCAAGATTCCTCTAGTCACGTTTGGGAACACTCAAGATTCATAACAAACCTTAGTACATAAAGAAGCCCTCCTTGGTAAAAACAAAATAATGTATTCAGCCCTTTTTTAGTAAAATCCATGAGAGAGATGTACTAACTCCAATATAAAAGTCACTCAATATAACAGAGATTTCTCAATTTGAGAATCCAATGAATGCCCTTTTCCTCATAGCCATCTTAAAAGCCTGGTCTGAGCTTTAAACATACATATTTTAATATATTCTTTTTTTTTCAAATTCAGATGTCAAGGAATCCAGATACAAAATGGTCAAGGTTCTTGTTGACAACCTCATTCAAGGCCAACTCATTGTGAGTCCAGGAAAAAAAATACAAATAGCAGCTAAGTTTGCAGTTTAGGATAACTTCATTCTAATTTATTGTTACAGTTACAACAAGATTTTAATCAAAAAATCAATTTTATTTGTCTGTAATTAGCCCCTTCACTCCCAAGAATATAACTATATAAATATAACTTAAGATATTGTATTTTATGGAAAAGAATCAACAGATTTTATTCACAATTTGTGTCAAACCAAATTTAATGATTGATTAGAACTATTTTATATGAATAGCTGTAATTGAGGATTAATCCATATGAAGTTTTCAAGAAAAGAAAAATAAATCAAATTCCATCCTAATATTACCACACATTGATGTTAATAATTAATCAAAAATATTTTACATGTAGGCCTTAATTAAGCTTCTAAATAAATTTCATTTTTTAATTTAAAGTATTTATTTTATATCATTAGCCTCAAATCCTTGCTTAAAATTTCCAGTAATTCTTAAACATTCCTAAAAATTCCCAAAAATTCCCAGAAATTTCTAGGAATTTTTTAGATTTACAGCTTTTCAGGGAAAGTCATTGTTTCTCTGAGTTGGAATTCCTAGGAATTCCTAGGAATTCCAAGTCCTGTTGGCTATAAACTTGGAATTTCTGGGAATTTCTGGGAATTTCTGGGAATTTCTAGGAACTTCTAGGTTTTTAGAACCAGAGTTGTTATGGTTGGGAATTCCTAAGAATTCCTAGGAATTCCTAGGAATTCCCAGTCCGAATTTACCGTGAAAATTCACACCTTTATTCCTAGGAATTCCTAGGATTTTCCTAGCAATTCCTAGGAATTCCAAAAGCCATTTCGCAAGGGTAACTCGATTGATTACGTAAAGTTGTAGTGTTAACATTTGATCACGTTTTCCAGTAGCCGTAGCTATTATATTACACGTGTACTTATCAGGTTACGGGTTTCTTGCGAAAGTCACATGCTATCGTTGTACAACGAGTTTATATCTTCGCTATTTAAGAGCAAGCTATCTCGCTATTGTCGCTATCATTGGGTTATATGCTATCAAGCTAGGAGCTAAACCAAAGTAAGTCTTTTTTACTTGTTATAATTGTTGCATGATTTCGTTACTCTGTTTACATCGGTTTCTATTAGATAAAGGCTTAGTTGATTTCATTGTCGTTATGCACAATCGATATACGGTACAATGTAAGTTACGTAGGTTTATTTTTAATTCCCTTTAGTTCGAACCACATCACATCAAATTGTATCACGCTATTGTTGTGCTTTGAAGCCATCGCTACGTATCTTCGCTACCGTCGATTATCGTAAGAATAAATTTGTAAGTTGGTTGGAAAACTTTGTTATACGTCTGTTGTTTGTGCGTTCGTTTTATGCTCCTGGTCACTCGCTATCCTGTGACTCCACTAAAGTCACAGCTTGTGTTTAACAAGCTGGATAAGCATTCAGTTTTGAAACCTTTTGTTACATATTCATCTCCTTCTACACCTTACTCAATAAACACGTTGGTTCTACGTCAACCATATTCAATACCATTCTAGAATTGTGAGGGCAATTCCATGTTACAGACATTACATTATAGACCAATTTTTTGGAAACTAATTTCCTTAACAAACTTATTTTACACAGTTTTCAATCTATAATTTATACTAACATTCCTCACAGGGTTAACTTGGCTGTCAGCAGAAAAGAAACCTTTCTTTCTATAACAAAGGCTTCCAAAATTTTTGTGTTAAACTCTGTTACAGACATTACAAAAAAATCAACCTAAAATTTTTTGTGTTCACTTGACACTTTTTTCCCTGTGAATTGACTATTCAGACATAGATCATTTAAAATAATAAGAACAAGGCTGCTTCATAGCTTTTTTAAAATCTAGTTGTATCCCTTATTCTGTAGCTAGATTTGAGCTTGAGCTAAAAACTTCCTGTTGTGGACATTACACAATTTTTGTTACAGACATCACACTGTGGAACTCTTTTTTACATTGGTAAAAATAAGGAAATATTTTTTGTTTATTTAGGAACTTTTTATAATTGACTTTGTCAGAACCAATATATTTATCTTAATCAGGCCCAATAACAAGTTAATCCTTTAAATCCCAGAAGTGATTAACATAAAACTTCTCCCTATACATTCATACATTATTCAGGAAACAGGTGATGAGAATATTCAAACTTATCAGGTAGAAGCTGCTATCTTGATATAGCACCAAGTTCTCACAACTAATTTGCAAGGAAATGTGTAGCAGCTAGAGGGGAGAATTAACAATTAGATCTTGGGAGTTAAAGGTTAATTCTCTTTTCTGGTTGGGCTGATAACCAAAGCATTAATATCATACTTAGGTGTACATGTAATTGTGGTAGGTGGAGTATCCCATATGGAGCTTGCTCCTTACAATTCCATTTTATTGAGCATGTTCTAACTAGTGTTTCTGCTGTCTTTTAGTTCTTGATTTTTGAGATACAGTACAGTTTTCTAGAGTGACACCGAGTTTTATATTGGAAGAGCCTTTACTGGGTTGATAATGAGGTTGAAATCAAATTTCTTCACAAAGTTGTCAAAACATTTAACTGGCCTCTGAGGAGCAATATTGATATTGTCCACAAGAGAAGAGTCTACTGTAGTTCCACATATTGAGAGGCTTTTTAAATATCTTTGAAAAGAAATTGTTTGCAAATAGATGATCAAACTAACTGCAGATCGCAGTAGTTAAACACTGCTTTAATTACGAAACTTGGATTGTTCTGAACTTTTTGTAAGAGTACTATTCATTGACTCTCAATAAGCCAGTTGATACTATTTTGGAAAGTTACACTGCACTGAACTGTATGAATTGATAACTTTCTCTATAGTATTATCAGTGCAATGGCCTTTGAAAGTTGAAGTATTGCTTGTTTTAAACTACATTTCTGAAACATGGCATGTTATATTTTAATTTGTTATCTTCAGATATTATAAAAGAGGGTACTCAGACTCTAAATATAATATGTCTCCCAGTAAACTTAATTCACACTTAGACTCAAACTTCTTGAAAATTTATACTCCTCAAGTCAGCATTGCATTGTTACTGCTAATGTACAGTTGTTGTTATGGTTATTGATATTAGTGTTTAGTTAAAAGCACTGAAAATTTGGATGTGATACATTTGAACAAAATTGGTATGTATGTAGCATTTATTTCTCCCAAAAGAATTACCATAATAAAAGTCATGCAGTCATAATGTCCATAATATAATGTCCATAATGTAATGTCTGTAATGTCATGTCTGTAGCATAAAGTACGCTTTTTTTTTCTTGTGTTTTACACGGTTTTGGTAATTTACAACACTCAAGTTTAGGCTCCTAAAAAGTAAAAAAGGAGCCAAGCTGACAAAAAAACTGATTTTTAATTTCAGAGAAAACAAAAAAAAAGACTTTTTGTTATGGACATAACAAAATAATGTTACTAGCTCTCATTTACGAAGTACATCCATTTTGCAAAAAATCTTATCCACAGGTTCTTCTTTGTCTTGAGTTTTGTTAGTTTCAAATTTCCTCTGGTGAGATTTAAGGAATCAGGGCTCGAACTTAGCGGTGGTCTATTAGCCAAATACCAGTAGATTTTGAGTTTTGGCTAGTGGATTTTCTCATCTGCTAGCCATCTTGGCTAGTTAATTTTCGCCTCTATAAATAACTTAAGTCCTCAAACATTTTCAAAATTCTTTCATTTCAACAACTGGCATGAAATAAAAAAAGAAAAATAACTCTATATTCGAAAAATAATTCTTTGTTTCGTTACAAGTCCGTGTTCGTTCGCCGCCATATTGACTTGCTTGATCGAGGAAACATGGGATCAAGTCACATACCGATGATGCAATGCTATCAAAAAACGCTTGTCCGCCATTTTGAAATGCCACGCGTGATTGCTCCTGAAATGCCACGCGTGATTGCTCTCGTTAAGTATGGATATCAGGGCATTTCTGTCGTCATCAAAATCCTCTGAATCATCTCAAACATCTACAACTTCCACTTCAAAGAGAGCAATTGATGATTCTTCAACATGCCAATCTTTATCGAAACGAAAGTTCCTACGGTCGTTAAAGCATGAACTTTCAAGCAAGCTTCAGTCATCAAAGTTCATAATTGTAATGGCAGACAGTGCATGTGATGTTGGAGTACGTGAGGTAGAAGATGTTTATGCATGTCATTTGGTTAAAGGTGAGATAGAAAATTTATTTGTGGGGCTGAAGGCTTGTGAAAACAGCAAAGCACCTGGAATCAAAGCAGCTGTGGAAACTGCTATGACAGAGATGTGTAGGGATTGGAAAGAGAAGACAGTGGCCCTGGGAGCAGATGGAGCAAATGTTATTCTTGGAGAAATAAGTGGTGTTTATGGCTTGCTTAAACAAGAAATTCCTCACATTATTAAGGTACACTGCGTTGCACATAGGTTGGAACTTTCATTTGCAGACACCTTGTCAGATGTTCCAGTTCTTAAAGATGTCAAAGAAATGCTTCAAGGTATTTGGAAGCACTATCATTATTCTGCAAAGGCAGTCCGTGAGCTTAAAGAACTAGCTTAGAGTATGGAAGTGCGAGCATATAAGGCAATCAAAGCAGACGGTACAAGGTGGGTACCACATTTGCAAAGAGCACTGAATATTCTCTTATCAAAGAACTTTCAAGTTGTAGTTTTGCACTTCCAACATACCTCACAAGCAAGGGATGCCAGTAACCAGATGCAAGGAAGGGCTGTGAATTACAGCAAAAAATTCACAAGCTACAAATTTGTTGCCATCATGCATCTGTTACTTGACATCGTAGATGCACTTTCCAAAGTGAGTCTTAGCTTCCAGGAGGATGGAATAACAATCTAAAGAGTTCAAGATAACTTAACTGCCCTTTTACCAAAACTTGAATCTTTCAAGGAAAGACCTGGTCAGCAACTAAACTCTTTCCTTACGGAAGTAGGGGATGGCAACACATTTAAGGGCATAGAGCTTCAAAGGGATGCAGACAGGCAGGCTATTAATGCTATCCAGGCATCTGCGGTGAATGCTGCCATGACATTCATCCAAGAGAGGTTTGGAGGGATGGAAACAGATCCAGTATTGTCAGCAGCAGCTGTCTTGACAAACCACCGAGGTTGGCCAGTTACAGACAGGCATCGGCTGCTCTTACATGGCGAAAATGAAATCCAGACAGTACATGGTCATTTTCAGGTACCACTAGAGCAGCACAACTTCAGTCTGCATGACTGTCTTGATGAATGGATGAGTCTTTAATTCCATGTACAGCGAGTTAGAGCAGAACTTGAACTGAGGCAAAGCGAATTCTGGAAGAACAAATTTATGTTTTGCAAAGATGATTATCCAAACCTGCTAATTTTAGTGGAACTATGTCTTGTAATTCCTTGCCAGACTGCTTGCTGCTAGCGGGGGAACTCTTGCATGAACAGAATCATGACTGACTGGAGGTCAACCTTGAATGTTTCTACTATTGATGAGTTGATGAGAATAGCTATCAGTGGACCTTCTCATGAAGACTACTGCAGTTCTTGCAGTTGGGCGCTGGCTGGAGGAGTCAGAACGGAGCAGACGGCCTACATTGATGGACTGATCATTGCCTTCAATGATCATTCCTACCATTTGGGAACACCTAATTAACTGTTTTATAGTACTGAACACTACTAGGGTACTAGGCATTTTGAATGAGCAGCTGCTGTTTGAAGCTAGAAGCTTAAGTCACACAAAGAAGTAATGTCTGCAGCAGTACATGTACAGTTGGGTTTTATTGTTGTCGAGGTAATTGGAATAATGAACAAGCATGAACACATACAATGAATTTTATGTACAGTTGTATAATAAATTGATTACAGTTTGATAGCAACAGCAGTGTTACATTTTCTTGTGTGTGTTTAATCTATAAAATGATAGTTTTGTGCAGTACACTTGCCTAGTAGAAATGCATTTTTGGCTAGTGAATCCTGATCATGTACTAGCCATTCGACTATTAACTTCAAAAGTTAAGTTCGAGCCCTGGGAATACATGTTACTCAAATTATTTTAAATCTTTCGGCGTGCCAGCTATTTTCACACACTTCTCATTGGACAAAAATAAACAGCCTCTCTTAGCCGTTTCCCACAAAGTCAACTTTCAGATTACTATTTTTTATACAATTTAGGGTCTCCTTATTCCAAAAATCCATGATTGGGCTGGATATGAAAAATTTTAAATTTCACCATTTAAGCAGTTGTAAAATGATTTGGGCCATGATGGTTTTCATTATTTTTATCATCCCCTACAAGTCACTCTGGTCATCTGATGAGATATACTTTTACAGAAACTGAACAAATTGGCTGTTAATAGCTATATGTGATGGCAGTTTATGAATATCTTGAACATGTTGAATTGTTTACACAATCGTCACAATTTTTCCAGAACTGAGTAAAATTTTGTGCTTCAACATGCTACAAACATCATCAAAAGTAACCTCCACATGAATGAAAAAAGTAATTAAAGTGTCTGCTTTAAATCCTAATGCAACTCATTCGCAGCCACATGTTCCAACTTTGTTTTTGCTAATCAGGAAGTTGATAATTATAAACAGAAGTATTTTTAAGTAGAAGCATGTTGTGAGCTTGCTATCGCCCTTCTCCCAAAAATCATATGGAGGGTCACAAATACAGAACCTTGCATTACAGCGACCAGTTGCATCCTATATTGGTCATTACACCTGTAACGACCAAAGCAACTTTTTAATCTTTAGATGCATTTCAGCTGCCAGGTGCAACATAATAAGACATGGTGTCAAACACTAGTGAAGGATGACAACATTCAATTTATACTCCTCAGTATGAATTCAAAGGATTGAACTACTGGGTAAAGATTGATGCAAATTTAATTAGTGACCTATCTTGCTACTTTAACATTATGTTTCATATTCAAAGCAAAACGATATTCATGAAAAAAAGAGAATAGCAAATAATAACATGAACATTTTTTATTCTCATGAGAATAAGACACAAAAATCCTCACATATATGTATCATATTTAAAGAGGGAAAAAAATGGAAAAAAACATATACACCTACATTTCCTGCCTTCAAAAAATCACAATATGAGCAGTCAGAAAATGATGGACATGTAATAATTTCTGAAAAAGAAAAAACATAAAATAAATATTAATCAAATGTGAGAGATATTAATGGTCACAAAAATTCCATTTAAGGCGCTATATTTATTCCTTTAACTCCCATGAGTGACCAAGACCAAATTTCTCCTTACAATATAAATATGTTATCAACCAAATAAGTGACAAGATTTAAGAAAAATATCAATTCGGGGATAATTAGTTGATCCAATGCTAAATTCTATGAACTAACATTATAAGAATTGTATGACTGACAGTAAGGAGAATTACAAATTGGATCTGGGAGTTAAAGGGTTAAGGCAGTAATTGTTGCTATTGAACAGTGTAATGAACTGAAGAAAGCTTTAGGATAATCTGAAAGACATAAACAACATAAGGCTGTTTCACTCGATCATGCTCAAAAGGGGTTGTTGGAAAATAATTGAACTCAAGAGGAATCCTATAATGGTAAAACCTTCAGATATATCAATTCATGGATACTGCATGTGTCTGCTAACTTCAGTCAGCAGGTTGAAACTGAGGAAATCTAATATGTAAATATGTCATTCGACAACTGCGAAGGAAAATATTGATAGTTTTTGGGAAACTTAGCTTCGAATTGGCTGTTGCATAAATTTAACATCTGCAGACTATTCAGAGGTTCCTGTTACTAGTGAAGTAAAGCTATATGCTGAAGCACAAAGAAAGATTGCTTTGGGATTAGAGTTCAAATGCTCAATAGCCTCTTTAGTGCACACTGAACCTCAGTCGCCATTTTCTTTCCATCCCACCCTCCTCAATGGTTATTTGTTATGGAAATTAACATTCCCTATCTTTTTGGGTTTTCTGTATAAGAAAGCCTCTCTGTAAATGTTATGTTTTAGCACTGTTAGATTTATCTGCTCATATGCACCAAATAAGAGCCACATTTTGTGGAAAATTAGTTAACTATATAACTAAGACTGGACGATTTGTCCCAAACATTACTGGTCAAATGTCCTATGGTTTATCAGATTGAATTTAAAGGCACAATAATTTTGTCGAAAAATATCATCGATAAATAATGCCTAACTCGAGTTCTCGGAAAACATATTGAATTGGAGAAGGCAAGTCATTCTCTAGCGACGGAAATCGAACTGTGGAGAAAGGGTTTCGCTTTCAGTTTCCTGTCGCCTACGAAAACGGCAATTTCCGCCCTCACTGATACGCATTACGTGTTTCAATCTTAACTAAAGCATTTCCCTGTCCCTTCAATCTAGATCAGTAACGACTGCTGGAAGTAAAACAGCTGGTCTGAGTACAAAACAGACTCTTACTAAAGTATGAAATTTAAATAAAGTGACCTTATATTTCGCATCAATTCATATTTCATGAATCTTCTTACCCTTCATATGATCTTCTCGAGAACGGTCCTTCAAACGAAATAATTACACTCGGAGCTCGTGAAGAGGCGACGCAATCGTCCTGAAAAAAGAAAAAAAGTAGCTTATGTATCAAGTATGTCTTCACCATACACTTATTTTCAAAGGCTTGTGTTAAAATATTCGTAATCATACGCATTTACGCGAGAGAAATACCGTAAGTCAACAACGGGTTATTGAAGTTAAAGTTACGGACTGAATAACTTTACTATTCTGTCTGTACCTGCTCTTTCTTCGGGTCAGCTCTTCTCATGGACAGCAATGTGAGTTTAAATCAAGTTCCTTATCGCAAGGTCGCATGCAGCGTAGAACTTTGATCACATGGAAATTCAACTGGGAACCCAAATATACAAATTGAACGAAAGGACTTCATAGGTCACGTGAGCAAACTGGATGTCTACATACCTTTAATTGAATTTTCTTCCTTCAATATGTGGCATGCAAGAAAGGGATGATGTCAAGATTTCTGAAAAAGAGAAACACAATTAGTATTAAACGGTGAAATAGAGAGAGTGGTGCACTATATAGAATTGATATATTCCTACTTTCTCCATTCTTTTAAATGGATTACTAGGATTGATTACCAGACTGATAAGTTACGTGTGCAGTAGAGGTGCAAGTGGTTAAGGTATGTAACACTAAACACGATCTATAGATATTACTTGTATGTGAGTCACACCTGTCAAAATTTTCCTGAAACCAGCAAACAATGTACAATCAGACAGAAGTTCTTCAGGATCTTTTTCTTTCCAAACAACGGTCGGTGCGTAACAGTGAGAATAAATGAAACAATAAAAATTTGCATCGAACTTATTCCACTGTGGTGTCTGTACAACTTACGTCTTCCTACTGAATGTACGACTGAAAGCAGAAAATGACTTTTGCTTGAGAAATCAGCCATCTCTCGCAAAAGGATCCTGTTTTTCAAACCAGATATTTTTATAGTTGAACTGTATTTGGCATTGTAGAAGATCAGTACTGCGGAAAATATTTTTGCATGACCATTTGGGCAGAACCACACAAAAAAAAAAAAAATGAGAACATTACAGTTTTTTCATATCGTAAAACTCAAGATTAATCCTTCAAGCATTTCATCTTTAATCCATGTCAATATTTTTTAATTAATTATTGTCTCTCTTGTATTTTACCAGCTTTCTTATCAAATATATTTTATTGAATCCTTCAAGTTTAGTCTTTCCGCTAATTTGTTCAAGGTATAATGTCTCACAGACGAAAAACATTACAGACTACAATAATGATATTTAATGATGAAATACCCGAGTCAGATCTCCATGCCTCCTTTCTTTCTTTTTTTTTTTTGATTG